GTAGTAGTAGTAGTAGTAGCCGCAGAGTACTAGCGAGCAGCCGTCGGCGAGGGTAGGAGTCGTTGTTGTTGTGATGGTGGTCGTGGCGGCGGTGGTGGCGGTTGCGGTGCTGGTGCTGGTGTCGGTGCTGGTGGCGCTGTCAGTGCTGGTGCTGGTGTGCCTGCGGTAAGAGGTTTTGTTGACGCTGTCCACATCACCGCTTGACCGACTGCTGAAGCGCCAAAGGTATCACTACTGCCTTCACAGAGGCCCAGCTGTTGCGAGTTAGTTGTGTGCATCCGATGCAACGCCTTGCCTTGTTGACATTCTACAAAGTCAAGCGGCTCGTAAGGCTGCGTGGCAGAGATGCAATGAGGTCCTAGTCGACATCTTCAGCAACTTAGGGACATTCTGGTTCATTGTGTTTTGTGAAGCTAGTGCCAGCTAGCGATTCCGTTCATGCAGAGTACACAGCTTGGATTCTCGTCAACGTTTGGACTTTCCGCTGGTCTGGAACACCCAGACATTTCTCCATTAGCTGGAATTAGGTTGTCACCTTGGAAAAGTCTCACCGCTTGCAAATGCAAAGCGATGCTCGACATGCCAAAGGAAGCCTGCGATTGCAAATCACTGCTTCAGCTTTGCCCGTAAATTGGTCTTGCCCGCGGTTTGACTGAGTGTAGATGGCCATGCTCGCTGGCAAGACTTGAGCTCAAACAACAGATGAAGTGATGATGATGATGATGAACTTGGTGGTAGGGTGCGACCGCTAATTTGTCGGCAGTTGCCACACAGGCCATCATCTGGTACTGCTGAAGAAATATAATGGTAGCAGACCAGAAACATGATGGATTCAGCATAGCCATTGTAGCAAGAGGCGGCCAAGATATCCTCCAGCTAGTTGGTGTGCTCGCTGCCCTACCATGACGACGCTGCTTCGTTCTGACAGCCCAAACAGCTTGGGTACCGGATCTCATGAGATCAGGCGCGTAAGAAGAATCTGATTCTGTCATGGCGCAAGAACATGCAGCATGCACTTAATGCTGCAGGTCCTTGTCTCCATGCGTGGGGGCCTCAGATGTGAACATTTTCATCCTGCAATCTGGAGCCTGAAAGAATTTGATCAGCCGTTTGACTGAGGCCAGCTTCAACAATCGGGACTACAATCGCGAGTCCTTTAAGGATGCGCTGTCGCAGATCTTGGGCGAACTTGAGTCGTCTCTTCTGGAAGCGTTCCTTGATTGGAGATGGTGGATATGGTCTGTCTGGTTGTCTGCATGCTTCCTCGTAAGGCATGAGCGCAGTACTGGTTCTGGCCGCCGACGCTCTAGGCCGGCAGAGAGAACAAGGGCATGGAGTTTTCTGCAACTCAAACACTTTGTCTAAGCCTCTTGTGACAGGGTCGAATGCACGCTGGACCAGTCCGTGGAGTCAGACCAGCCGAAGGAGGATCGCGTATGCATGAACATCTTGGCCTTACGTGTGTGCGGTTTTGAGCACAGAGTACTTGATGAGTCCCGGTCATAAAAGACAGCCTTGCTCTGGAAATGTTCAAAGTCACAAGTCATAAAGCACTGGTGGCAGAAGCTCTCATATGTTTGACTTCCCTGTGGCCGGAGTTCACCGAGAGTATGGACAATTAGGGCGAATCCTTTCTTCGAGGGCCCGATTTGCAGAACCACGTAACTGCTGATTGGTGCCAGACTCCAGCATGCTGCGGAGGGTGTGCAGCACGACCTTCAGAAATATAAGCATCTTCTCTCGAAATCTTGATCGTGCCAGGGGCCAGTTCTGACCCTGAGCTCGGTCGCGCCGCATGCCAAACTCAGTTATTTTGCCGCCTGGATGCAGTTGCATCAAAGACCGATGTTCAAAGATATATGGTAATTTACCTACATAAGGGGACCCCAATATAGACCCCAATCTACTATAGTCCGTATTACGGGGACCTCCAAAAAAGGTACCCCTAATTATGGGAAACCCCTATATATTGAAAAAACGCTGTGGAAGCAGACAAATTCTCCTGATCCACAGCTACTTCAGGGGTCTCCAACCGAATCGGTCGGGGCCGTTCGCTCGATGCCTTCAGTGCTTTGGATGCACATGAGCCAAAATGGGTTTAGGGTTTAGGGTACACTCCTCAAAGGAGGTTACATAGGGGATACATAAGGGACAACTACAGGGGTTGTGAAGGGGGATGCTAGGACTTTAAACTACCGCTTACATAGTTTGAAGAGCTGCGGGAGCATCCAGTCAATCAAAGTATGTCCTAGTCTTGCACAAGCTCTATACCAGCCAAGCAAAGCAGTGCGAGAGCCCAGCTCAAGACGCGAGAGCGATGGCCCCTCATTCCAAGTTTCCAAGTACTTCGAGAGAACTGGTGATGGCTGCCGAATGAATGGCGGTGTGTACTAGAAGTGCGAATCAGCCAAATGCTTTGATGCACTCTCTGGCGCTGCCTGCAGGAAGCTGTTTGCACTGGCTACAGTACAGACTTCTTGCAAACTCACACATTTGGGTAAGGGCGGTGAGAACTCCTCGGTTCGGGCAAGGAAACAAAGCAGTGTGGCTCAGCTGCACTCAGTCGTGCAATTGATGGGAGGTCTTGAGCTGAGGGACATGGTTTTCGATTTGATAGCACCTTCCATGTAGCCATGATTGAGTCACAAGGTAGTGCGACTCTGTTGTAGTCACAGTCGTGTGAAAGTCGTGTGAAGCTGGTGCTCATAGTCGAAACCCTAAACCTTAACCCCATATGTCCCTATATACCCCCGCATGGCCCTTTGTTTTGCGGTAGGGCTTGGGTGCTTGCAGTACTATGCAAATCACCCGATGGGTTCTGTTGCATGTGCAATAGTGCCTGCAAGATGTTCCGTTCTCATAGTAAGGGAGGTTCTGAGTAACTCTAATCATCTTTGTCATGCTGCCCTTGCTGGCTAGTGACAGCAACCATACGAAAAGATAAGTATGTAACAGTTACCACTTTCAGCGGTGACAGTAGCAAATGCCATGAGAACCGCAGCACCAGCATTGCTGCAGTTGTAAGGTTTCTCGCAAGTCGACAGCCTCAGCCTCCCTCTCAGATCTTTGCAGTGAGCTTGATGGAATTTAGAGTTTAGGGTTAAGGGTCTTTGCTCACAGTGCTTTGTGGACTTCCATTTGCCCAATTTGGGCCTGCATCTATTCAGGCTCGAAGCCGCGTAAGGCCTTGCTGCATGCATGCGGCACAACATCTGTCTGCGCTGCAGAAGGGTGTGTTGTCCATCTTTCAAGTAAGACAGGTGTAACAGGTTGGGCACTGCCCCACGTTGTAACAGTTGGGTGATATTTGTAAAATAGTGATATATAGCCCTGAATATGACCCCTAATATAGACTGTTGCAGGGTGGAGGCAGTACCCAAGTAACAATTGAGAGCCCTCCTGCTGGCCAGGCCGAGTGCCAAGATTGCGGTGGCAGACCCAAGGAGATTGCAAGGGCTGAACAAAGAGGGGTTTAGGGTTTAGGGTTTAGGGAAACAGCCCTGACTTCGGAAAGTATCCTGGGCCTTTACAACGGAGGATGGTGTCATTATACCATGTCCTTGCAGGTGAGACTCTCAGTAGAGCTCTGTTTGTACTTAGGTCTTTGAGTTGTTTTGTTGGGGAGGTGCATAACTATGCTTGCCAATGTGCACTATGTGACGAACGCAATCACTTTACACCCGTGTGGGCCATATTTCCTATAGCCTAAAACCTTATAACCCCCAATATAATCCCTGTTTCCATTTCATTTTCCATTTTCATTTCCATTTGATTCTCCATTCATGGAGTATCCCTAAACCGCAGGCCCCCCAACGTCTCCCGGACTTTTTTCCGCAAGTTGGACACACGCATAAAGTCCTTTGGCATCCCTTGACATCCTTCGACGCAGGACCTTCCACAACACTTTTGCCGAGAAGCGCCTCTCGGAAGAGTCAGATCAGGAAGTGAAGGCATGGTTGAGTCCGACTTGGAATCTTCAACCTCAGGAGTTTTTCTGGGGTTTTCGGATTTCGTTTAAATGAGGGTTAACGAGACTAGAGGTGTCGGTGCAGGGCGTCAATGTATTACTTGTACAAATTGCCCGTCTCGGACTGATTCTGGATGCCACGCTTGCCACTTAAGAAGAGTCCAGGGGCCCACGCAAACATCCAAGTTGAATTTCTTTGGACTCAGTTTTTGAACCAGGACTGCATGAAAGCGCAACTCTGTGCAGTAATGTTGCAATCTATCTAGTGTTAGACACCCCCTGACAGTAGGGCCCCCAGAAAATCAAACCTTTGGCGTCTTCAGTAGAGGTTGCAGAACCTCCCGCGTTTCTGAGGGCTCTGGGGATTGATGGGGCCCCTAAACTTGCAGGAGCCCAGGGATGACCGATGAAAGAAGGTCTCCACAGATAATTTTTTGTGGATCCATTCAAGGTCCAGAGGTCTGCTGGACTACCCCCTGCGCCCGAATGATTTGGGCTATGACTTTCAAGGTTTAGAATAAGGATTCTACATGAAACGGATCAGCTTCAGGTTCAGGATTAGAATTTGCATTCTGGATCAAAGCTCTGACGGCTGACTTGGGAGCGACTTGAAAAGGGCAGCCTTTTAAAATCCTTTTCTCGGGGCCTCAAAATTTCCGGCTTTTCTTGTGTTCAGGACCCCAAAGCCGAACAATGGCCTGAAACTTAAACTGGATAAACATCGGCCAATACACATAAGACAAGGTCTCTTCACTAAAAGCAGTATAAGCATTCTAGAAGAAGGGGCGTGCAGGCGAAACCCCACAGCTGTGTATGGCCAGAAGCCGGTGACTGAAGCAAGCAGCAAAACAGACGACGGCCATCCGAAGTCCGTTCCTTGCTCCTTAGAGGGGGGTTATATATATATATACACCCCAATAATGGAGAACCAAATGGAAAAGAACATGGAAAATGAAATGGAAGCTGTTTTATATAGGGTTATGTAAGGGTTATATGAGCCATAGTCTAAACTCCTTAAACGGGGAGGTTATATAGGGGTTTATATAGGGGACTGCTATAGGGGTTATCAAGGGGAATACGAAGAGTTTATACAATGGCTCAGGTTAGAATGCCAAGTATTTGTGCCGGGGCCGCCCTGAGAAGCGAACAGTCAGAAAAAGGAGGCTAGCACAAAAAGGGCGAGAGCCCTACAGTCTTAAAACCAAGAGAAATGCTACCATCTTTCCATAGGTTCAGTTTCTGTGCAATACAGAATTATGCAGAAGTCGCAGGATGCAATTTCTGTGACAAGCCAGCTTGTTGGCATGAGAAATGCTCTTGGACATGTATACATTTTGGGCAGGCGCGGGCAATGAGTGGCAGCAAGGACGAGGGCATCCTTCGCCTGACATTGGCAGCGTGGAAAGAGCCACTTGGATGCAGCCTTTCCAACCTTGGACATGTTTGCCGAGGACGCAAGCGAATGCGATTTCTCATGTTGAGGTACGCATTTCATGTCGACAATGACGATGATGACATCTCTGAGCACGAGCTCGAGGAGCATCTTTGATTCTTGAATGATGCTCGCAGCCCAGCTAGGCAGAAGGCCAGTACTCCTGAAACAGGTTCTGAAGGAGTCCGCGCTGCGGGAATGGCCGAGTGACCCAGAGGCCATTGGTGCTGCTTCTGTTTGGGGCTGTGGAATGAGGCAAGCCTCCTGTGGTTCGATAAGGAGTATTGAGAAAAGGAGTGGCTTCCAGAAGTGGAAAGCCCTTCGCAGAGGAAATCTTGCACCAGCTAAAGTCTGCGTAGAGTAGAGGGGTGCAGGATCTCTTTCATCAATGCAGTACTCCTGGTATCATCCGGGCCTCATTGGAGGGATCGTGGATAGGACCCATCCATTCCAAAGAGGTTTTGATACGACCTCAAAGCTCTCACCAGGCTTATGCTTCGCTGACCCGCATGCTGACGGGCGAATTGAACTCGAGCAAGGCTCCACTTGCTGTTTTGGAGGGTTCATTGCTTCATTCATCAGTTTTCGAAGCCAAAACTTAGACTCTGTACCGTGCTCCCTTAATCTCAGGCAGATGATGAGAGGCGAAATTCCTTTTCAGAAAGCTTCTGGAGGCATGCATGCTGGGCTTTCAGAGGGCGAATTCCGCGGCAGAGACTTGTCAGCTGCTCCCAGGAAGCGCTTGATCACGCGGCCGCATTCTCGAAAAAGAATGCTATGGGACCTTTTCGGCCTTGTGCTGGTGGTCTGGGTGGCCTGCCTGACAAAGTGAACTAATTTTCTGTGGGGAGATCCCAAGATGCAGAGGTTTTTCTGAAGATGGCAATCAGCTGAGGACATCTTTGCAATTCCCATGAATGCTTTCGAGCATCTTGTCCTCCAAAGGAACCAGGGCGGCATGCGCCCGGAAGGGTAACCCTGCCATCCCCGCGAGACAAAGCAAAGCAGAGAGAGAGACAGAGAGAGAGCTGCAGTGTTGCGACAGATCGCATGGACCGAGGTTGACGGACGTGGCCATTCTGACTGTCGTTAGCCAGCTGGCTGAACATGCAGTGTTTGTCAAGTTTGGCAAGCAGAGTGCAGACACAACCCGCAAGCAGCCAACTATTGGGTATTTGTACCTGCCATTCCCACACTGACAGCATGGTGTGCAACGCATATGCTTTCATGCAAGTGGGTTAGGGAGGAGGTGAACCCTTGCTGATCTGAGATTGGACCAGCACCGTGTTTTGGACCATCGACCTCCCGACGAACTTCTTTAATAGCCGGAGTCCCAGTTCTTACCCCATCGAGATTTGGAGGGCAAGAGGGCCGTGCGCTTAGCACCTTTGCGCAGCATGTCGGTGGGCCTTGCTACCGGAGCTGGTACACTCTCAAGGCGATGTGCATGGAAGAAGGCATGACGCAAGAAACGCAAAACATATGAGCAGCCGCATTTGTTTACATAAGAGAGTAGAAGCCTAGGCGCGTTGGTATTTTTGCATCTGGGTTCAGCGTTCCGCTGCGAACGAAATAAGGGTCGTGGATTGAACGAGATAGGCCACAGTTTCCTTTGCAATAGGAGCCCAGTACATGTTCCAACATGGCAAATGAGATCAGGTAATTTGTCAAGGTACAATACAAGATCACATGTAAGGTGATCAGGATGAGGGGCAGTGGATTAGAAATGCCGCATAAGGCCCAGATACTAAATAAAAGCCGATGCCCGTATGTGACGTACCGCGCAAATTGCTGTTCTTGTGTCCTCTAAGCGTATGTACTTCGGCCAGTATCAAGTTGATTGAGTTTCAGTGTGCAGCGCAAGTGATTGGACAAGTAAATCTTTATTCAGCATGCTCTGCGGGTAGAATAGCCTTTTGTGGACATGCACTGGCCTGCGCAAAAAGACTGGCATTTTCAAGACCCGTGGCAGCGCGCCATGCAGCGCACTCTGGCTCAGACGCCATCTCTCAAGGCAGGCGGTTGTCTGCAATGTGCCGGTGCTCGGTGTTCTTTCACAGTTGATAGCGTCATGCGCATGCACCTCATACAATCATCACCCTTTGTCGCGTCTGTCATGGGGCAAGCTCGGAACATGCAGGTGCAGGGCAGGACTGGCCTTTATGTCATCACAACTGCCCTCACAGATCATCTGAAAAAGCACACGCAGGCGAGCGCCCAAGTTTCTGCCGTATCACCTGCTTAATTTGCTTGACATTATGCAAGGAGAGTGGTACAGCATAGCCGCATACCCGTACACTTTGCTGCCCACTCTCTAGGTGGCAGTGGAGGCGCACGGTGCCAAGGTGGCCTTCCGCGTGCGGGATGTCGGGGAGCTGCAAGAGTAAAGTGTTCGTCTTGCTGTTTATGTCTTCTGGCTCAATGGCCCTGCAATGTCAAAAAGATGTTTCCAGTGACAGTGTTCGTAAACCTGGTCATGCAGATAAGCGTCATGTTATTCGAGTTCATTTGCCGGGTGACACGGCGTACCTGCGCCAGGTCCTGGAAAAGACGCTGCGCGCCATAGCCATGTCAACTGCAGACCTCCAGAAGTCCACGGGCTTCCTGCCAGGCGCAGTGCCTGAAGCTCTGTCCTGTTTGGCATCCTGTACTCCTACACAGGATTCGGCCTTCTGGGGCTGCGTCTTGACCGCTACGATCCAGTTCGCCCCGACGCCCCATGCCTTCTGCGTGGGCTTGCTCAGCATTGCCAAAGCTGTTGCGCGGAACGATTTGGGTAGTTCCCGAGTGAAGGCCGCCCAACTTGCATGTCCGTCTCCACAGCTTCTTGAACATGGTCCTGGCTTCTGAATTTTTAAAGAATGCGCTACTTACAGAACCGAGCTTGTCGAAAGCCTCTTGAAGTTGTTACATATGCTACTGATGCAGCTCCCAAAGTTGGGCTGTGAACCTCAGGTGGCCGGGTGGGACGTTTGTTGGAGCCACCGATGGTTAGCGAGGACACTGTCGTCATGGCCGCTGGCTTGGCCTGCAAACGTGTCCTTCGAGAAGTTGAAGCCCGCTCCCAAGGTCAAAAAGGCTGATGACTGCGGAAGCCTCGCAGAGGACTTGATGGAGCAGCTTGTGGAGAGTAGCACGGTGACCGCAGCGCAGCTCGGAAGCAGCAAAGGCAAACCTCGTATATCAATATCCTCAATGTCCGCGGGAGAGTTCCTAACTGCGTGCGTGCTGGGCGTTCTAGTGTTCAGGCAAGCAATTGTATCTTGCTGGTTATTAGTGTTGAGCACACAGCGGAGGTGTGCCCGCTTTGTTGGCGAAGTTGCCGCTGACCGGTTCTTGCAAGCAGCGGCCATTGCCCAGCGGCGATTACGCGAAAACGAGGTGCGAAATCGGAGTTTCTATAATCCTTGCAGCAAGGACTCACAACAGGTTACTTTCCAAAACAGGGGGACCCAATGTAGACCTCACAAAGTATTATACTCCTTATCAGAAGGATCCAGCAAAACAGCCCCAAGCGCCCACAGAGTTACAGATGGTGACAGCATGCGTAATTCCAACTGCGTTCTGAATTAAATGCTTTCATGCAATCTAATAGTCTTGTTTCAAACATAGTGTGATGAGCTATAATAGCAATGGTTCAGTACACGTTAATGGGAATACTACATGCGAATTTCCAGGAATACCGCGGGCTACGACTTGCGCTGATCCCTTCTGTCGGGTCTGCGCTTTCGTCTGCATCTTTCTCGCACACGGAGGACGAAGGGGCTGTTGAAAACGGCATCTGCTTAGACTCTCGTGGGCCTGTTTCCAAAGAATTAGCCTTCGCTATGCAGTGGTTGCGAATCAGAAGAGACGCAGAAGCCAAGCCCGACCCACGAGAACTTCTTAGCACTGTCTTTGCTCTGGCTGTTGGAGCTAAGCCCATCCGGCAGGTTCTCGCCGTGCTCTGCCCCTGGACGAACGTAGCAACGGTCTCTTTCTTGGCTTCTGAGCTGCTGGGGGTAGGCAAGAGATGTCAGTTGATTCTGAACAGAGCCGCATGAAGGCCCGCAAGGACCGCTTTGCTGCCTGTGCTTGACGAGACATGAGCACAGTCTCTTGCCGAGGACGTGCCTGGGATAGCGCCTGTGAGGCAAAGGCACAATCGCAAGTTCATGGAAGCCATGGACATATTGCCACCGTCTGGATGATAAAAGAGCGTTGTGCGGTATGCATCTGTGAGTTGGTTGAGCAACTTTGCTGGGCAAGCTACTGTATGTCTTCCCGAGACTTGTCAGGCCAGCTTGCGCTGTAGACCTGTAGTCAGCAGTATGCAGTCGCTGTGGTCGAAGTGCTGAGGTTTCTACAGAGCCGGGCACGTGGTTCTAGATCCGCGTGAAATCGCCCTGCAGTACCTGAGGACTTTGCTTGAGGGTTGCTCTGTGACTCTGATGCGAAGGGTTTTGAGCAGACGAGGAGAGTTGCAACCCAACATCAGGCCACTTTTCCAAGATCTCGTGCAAGCCACAGTCAGGACCTGGTTTACGATCGATGTGAGTGTGCTGGTCTTGGTTGCTCGCACGTGTCGCACGTGTGCCTTTGAGACTACTTTGGAACACCGCAATCGAGGTGCTGGGTTTGGACTGGTGCTTTCTGGCCTTGGACGTTGCTTTTGCTAGTGACAGTGACGAGGATGGGGTGCTGCTGGCATGGCCTCTCAGCGCGCACATCGTCTCGACAAAGTAGACATGGAGAGGATGTGGTCTGTGAGAGTCTGTCAGGACCACGGCCAGAACTTAGCATTTCAATTGTATTTAAAAAGGTTCTTGTTCGCCGACCCTTCTTGGATACCGGCTATAGAAACCAGAGCTTGCAAACCTTTGCATGACTGCAGTCATGGCAGGCAGGGAACAACTATCTGAGATCCTTAGCTGGAAGTCAGAAGCTTCTTTGCTTTGATGCTCCGATGCGTGAGTGGTCTGGGACGCACGATCTCTGACAGCTCAGGAATCATGCGAATGCTGCAAGCTCAGATTGCTCTGGGTGAACGGAAGTGCCTGACCGCCACCACGAAAGACTTCAAGCAAAGGGAAAAACATATGTTCTGAACCCTGGAATGGGTTCCCAGTCATCATCCAGTTGCAGGTCACGTGGGCTGAAGATCCTTCGGATCTTGCGCTTGGTACGTTTGGCCAAGCTGTTGCACTCTCAGCTGCTGACAGACAGTAATAGCTGCCCACTCTTTGTGTTCTTATGACTTTCTAGGATTACTATTATCATTACTGTTATTGTTGCTGTTTTGCTTATTACTATTATTGATATTATTTATTCTATTTCTATTCTTGCTATCATTAGTACTTTTACTACTATTACTTTTACTGTTATTTCTAGTTGCAGATCCGAGACCTGGGTCTGGGTGTTTGTTTGGCAGACGTGGTGCCATGTTCGGTGATGATACGGCTGCACCTATCAGGTTTCCCAAGTTCCACACAGCCGTGCTCCTGGCTTCGCTTTGCCACAAGCCACCTAAACCCTAAACCCTAAATAGTAGTGTCGCTAGCGGCAGACATCAAAAGTCCGAGGGGTTGTAAAAAAAGAATAGTAGTTTCCATTTTCTTTTCCATGATCCCCATACAATCCCAATGGAACCCCAAGCTTCAAGTTGAAAGGGACCTTGTCAGAGCAGCAGCTCTTCGCCTGCACGCAGATTCAAGCTTGTGGTTAGAGGCCTTCGTGGCGGTGCAGTCTGATTCTGTACGGCTCTCCCTAGGCGCGCTGCGGCCTCAGCTGCGGTGCCCCCTGTCTCTTCCATGAATAGCAGCCGCCTTCCCTCCCAAGAGATGGACCTGAGCCAACTTGATGACGTGCACATCTTTCACTGCGAATGTGATTGCCGAGATCAGGTTGTTTGCGGTGGTCATCGTTGTCACCATGAACCATTATGCTCCTCTGCGAATGGCAAGGGTGATGACATTCGGCGCATACTGAGATAGGCCGAATCCTGGGAAGCATGAGAGGTTGCCTGCGGCTGGTTCGCCTTGGGATATTGGGATACCTCGGTGCCTTGGCTGTATTATCCATACCCAGACCCCTGGGAGGATCTAAAAATTAGATCCCCTATATAGACCCATTATAACCCCTATATAATCCTTATATAATTTCCCATATGGTTATAGGGGATCTAATTTTTAGATCCCTTTGGGGATCTTGGTAATGCCCAGCAGCCGCTCAGTCTTCGCTGTGTTGAGGCCCCTGTGACGTGGGTAGCGGTCCATGACTTGTCTGGAGTTAGGGCCTCGGCTCAGCGGCCTCAGGTGCTGCATTTTGATTTATAGTAATAGAGTATATATTGGGGTTATATAGGGGTAATGGAAAAGAAAATGGAAACTTCTATAGTATAATAGGGTATATATTAGGGATTATATTGGGGTTACATAGGGGTTGTATTGGGATAATGGAAAAGAAAATGAAAACTACTATTAAGGCTTAGGGACCATGTAGGTGTGAATCATTATAGACGACAAGCAGATACGTAGTTTCTTGTCTTAGCGCTTATGGAGGGCATTACTTGAGTCATTGCCATGGAGCTCATGGAATTGGGATGTAAAGAAACAAACTTCTTGCTTGCGAGGATTTGGCGTCGTTCAAAGGGCGGCTGGGTTACCAGTACTTTACGTCCAGAGCTTATGCGAATGAGCCAGCTTCGTCACCTTCGGTATACCGTACACGTCAAATTCCTGCGATGTGCAATTTCAAATGGTGACTGGTGTGATGAAATCCGAGGTCACTCCACTGGGCGTTGCAGCCTTACAAGCCTATTGCAACATGATACCACGTGGTGTCTTTATGGTTTTTGGGTGTCCACTTGGGTATCATAGTCAGAATCTCCTCAGAACAAAGTCTGCCAACATCATGAAACACTATGCAACCTTGGCACAGAGAGCCCTTCGTGGCGTCTTCAGAAATGTATGCGGAAAGCAGCCTCCGAGGCTGTGCCAGTTCACACCGGCTTCGATTGAGGCACGGCCTGACTCCCCTGGATCTCAAGCTCACTGAAGAATGGTTGGTGCCCTCTTCAACGCAGAGCGCGAACCATACTCCCACCTAGTGATGAACAGTTGCATTCGCTGAAGGGGCTCGTCTTGAGATTGCCAGGTCAACGCGGTCAACACTTCCGAGCGCATCTACACTGTGTGTACGGCGCGGACTAGCTCGGTGCTTGCATGGTAGTGATGCTTTGTGGAACTGCTTCGGCAGGAGTCACGCATGTTTCGTTTCAAGAAAGGGACACCCGTGTAGCGATGAAAGGCGATTGTAGGGCTTATGCAGGGGTCATATAGGGATAATGGAAAAGAAAATGGAAACTACCATATTATAATAGGGTTTTATAGGGTTATATAGGGAATCATGGAAAAGAGCATGGAAACTACAGGCTTGAACAGGGATTATCGGTTAGGAGGACCCCCCACCCTGTAATAGTGGGTATTGTGCCTGGCAGTAAGCGTTACAAAGCGGTTGTTTGGGTGGGCAAGTCATGGTAGATGTGTGGGGCAACCATTGCAGCTGTTTTTGTGCTCGGCCGCTTCTATATACTGGTTGCTGCTAAGGAACTTCAATTCAGTTATTACTGTAATATGGAAACCCGATTATTCTACAATAGACCCATCGTATGATAGCTTAAACTAACTTCCTTAACAGCAACCCAGAATAGGTGTGCAGTCCCAGGACAGCTTGAAGCTAACAGTTTGAACGCAGCCCATAGTGAGTTGCACTGAACCACCAACGTGAGATGTGTTACACGCAAACATTGAGTTGTAGTTTTCTTGCTGATGCTGAGTAGGGAATAAGAGATTACAACCCCTCTATAACCTCTATATAATCTATCCCCTTATTCTCTACTAACCCCAATATATACCCTAGCGCCATGTAGTAGTTTTCGTTTTCTTTTCCATTATCCCCATATAGCCCTAAACCCTACTAACCCTCAGTAAGTATTGTCAGCTCTCCTGACTCCCTATGAAACCCCATATACCCCTATGTAATCCCTCTATAACTCCATTATGGTAGTTTCGATTTTCTTTTCCATTCCTGACTCCAGATCATCTGTGGTTTGATCTCGTTCTCATCCTTTGTGTCCAACATCACCTCATCGGCCTGGCCCTCAGTTGATTTTTTTTTGGAGGGTTTAGGGTTATATAGGGATAACGGAAAACAATACAGGGGTATACAGGGTTTTATAGGGTTATATAGGGATAATGGAAAAGACGATAGAAACTACTGAATTGTACTGGGGTATACATTGGGGCTAGTAGGGAATGAGGGAAGGTAATAGCAGTGTTGATTCACATGAACAAGTTGGAGCACTGACAGCATATATCAAGGGTTCTTGTCTCACAGTGGGAGTGAATGCCCTAGTCCCGATCGTTGCATGCCCTTTGTCAGATTTTTTGGCTTGTTTGTTGGCCGGTTTTGCCCCTTCAGATGACGCAGCTTCGAAACCTCAACAGCCGGGCGCTCGTATCAGATGGTGGTGTGCAGCTTATCAGATCTATGTCTTGCTTGCCTGTTGCAAGTCGCGCACATGGATAAAGTTGCAAAACTGTCTTCTCGCTCCCGCAACTGCATGGTGTTGTGGCCAGTGGTAGGGAATAATGCCCATGCTTCACGGCTAGTTTGGAACCAACCCACACAGTCCAGATCTGGGAAGGCACAAGAGTGCATGAGAGCAAGGCGTCGGATGCTCTAGTCTTGTCATGACCCGCAGGTGAGAAGCAGAAGCAGCAAGCCTCTCTACGGCAGTATTTCTCCCAGAATGAGTTACAGCCTTAGAAGGAAGCAGGTCCTTGTAATGACACGGCATCCAAAGACTTTCAATGCAACTGGTGCTGGGCTGGCAGGGTTCCTCCAGAAGTGAGCAAGTGCATCTACGACTGGATAAACAGTCTGAGCCTGAGTTTCAGCATTCATCTCAGCAATCCGCTTTTTTTGCCTGTCGTGGTCATGGGATATTGCAGCTGGCGATTGCACGTCTCACGTCCTTCGGACTAGCAGAGTTGTATTCTGTCTCTTGCGGAGCACGCTGCAATGTGACAGCTGCTAATGCTTTCATTGTTTCAATAAGGTCATCGAAAGAATCATCGGGTGCGGGTTCACGTGCGGGTCCTGGCATCAATGATTTTTCAGCTCGTACTTCTGTTTTTGGGCTGCACTCTGCATGGCCAATTGAGACACTGCCTTGCAGGAAGATGATGTTGAGCCTTTGGCTGAAGTGCCGGAGCGCCTGAAGTTCAAGTTGCGAGAGGCCATTTGCTGGCAGCTTGTTGCTCTTGCACACTAAGCCCTCAATCCTAGACCCTAAACCGTTTGTGTCATGCAGGCGGAAAAGGCCCGTAAACCTTGAACCCTAAACCCTAACGGGTTGTAAAAAAAACCCTAACCCTAATCCCTAAACCCTAAAACCTCATCTCTAAACCTTAAACCCTAATCCCCAAACCCTAATCCCTAAACCCTCTAAACACTAAACCCTAAACCCTAGTCCCTAAACCCTAAACCCCTGTTCCATGAGCCGGCCTGGCCTTCCTGGCGAGGCAGTTTACCGTCCTGTCCTCTGTCGGCATCCATTCTTCATGGAGTTTCGTGAGGCCAACTCTGAAACAGCTTGTCTGAAATACTTCTTGGGGGTTTCCCAAAAGTAGGGGTACCCTTTTGGGGGTCCCTATAATATGGACTATAGTATATTGGGGTCTATATTGGGGTACCTTAATTTTGGGAAACTGCCTCTTACGAGTATTAGAATTATTCCTATCATTTTGTTGTTATTATTATTGCTAATATGTTATTACAAGTATTTCTATTATTAGTAGAATTGTCACTGGTATTTTTATCCAATACAAACAACTTACCTTTGGTTAGCTGGGAATGAAGGAATGGAAAAGAACATGGAAACTACTATGATGGGTTGTGTTAGGACTACTATTGGGATCCATTTCCTCATTCCTAGCTAACCAAAGGTAAGAACATTTGAAGAGCAAGTGGTGCAGACTTTGCGGTTTGCATCCTGAATGGCTGAAGGGATGTATGGGTTGAGTTTAGGAATTACTATCCTATGTAATCCCAGTTTCTATTTCACTTTTTATTTTGTTTTCCATTTGATTCTCCATTATTGGGCCCTACTATACTATACTATCTTATTTGTAAGCAGCAACAACTATGGGTGATGTTGTAATCAAGCTACTTGGCCCGACTTGGCAACGCAGGCGGATGGGCGGACCCTTGACAGGCTTTGCCACCAAGCGCTGTCTGAGATCAGGCCAGCACATTGCTGGTTCAACCCTGCAGGCTACAGTTGCAATCTCCCCTGTTAGTCAGGGTCAGCACGGAGCACACGATCTTCATGAAAGGGCAGCAGGCATGGGACTGGGCTTGAAGCATGAGCGACTTTCCTGAGGAGTGTGCAGAACAGGATTCAGGGTAGGGCCGAAGTTTTCTGCAAAAAGAGACTGTAATGCGAATTGCATGTCTCTGTTGCAGTGCTGTTGCTAGTGCTGCTTCAGTTGCACGCTCCCCTTGCTGTCATCCAGGAAAGAAACTGCTCACTTCTGACATGCACCAGGCTCTTGGCATGTACTTCGTGAACGGCGGCGAGCTGGAATACTGGAGATCTGCATTGGTAGACCCAGTGCCGATTCAGACAGGCCCAATTTAAGTGTGACCTTTGCCCACTCGGCGGGATAGGCACATGGGAGCGTATCCAGTATATCCGGCACCACAGTAATGACAAAAGCTCCTCATAAGCCGGCTTTATTGAATACCCCGAATTTTGTAAGCCTTGGAAGCGGGCCTGGAGGGTTTGGAGCTTGGGGGGAGAAGCGGGCCACCTGGTTGCGTTTCGTGGTTGGTGCTTCCTGCGGGCTGTTCGATGGATTTCTTGAATTTCTTCTGCCGTAGACTAAGGATTGCCACACATGCAGGAGCAGTCGTGCTGTTGTTCGAAGTTGTTGGATGCAGTGCTACTGCATTTACTGCCGTCGCATGGCTAAGAAGGCCTTCCCAAGCCCTAAACCCTAAACCCTAAACCCATCGCCCTGGGTGCAGGTGATTGGCTTAGTGAGGTGGCACTCTGGGTCAACTGGAGGCAGAGCAGGGACCTTCAGGGAAGGAAACCCAATAGACATATAACTTCCGTCTTCCTGGTGTGTCTATATTTCTTTGAAGAGGTAGGGATCAGGATGGTGTGTTCCAGCAGTAGAGAGTTGTAATTATGCATGTCGCATCTTCTGCTAGTAGAAAACTGCTCATGCATTTAGACTCAGTGTTGTGGTGTGCTACGGGGCCTGCACCAAGTGCACCTTTGAATGACAGCTCTACAGGATTCGTGGGCGTAACAATTGCGATAGCTCGTCGACTAGAAATGCACTGTCAATGCGGGGGCCGCTCCGTAAGGAAGAGCCAACTCTCCATTCAATCCAAAATCATCAATGATTTTGAGGTTCCTCACACGCATAGCCATTGGCAGGCACTGCGGCACACTGGCTGCAAAATGCCAAAGCGATGTCCGCACTCTCAGTGCATGTGAGTGCCAGCATCTGCTGCTATGCTTTGGACGTCCTTCACGACCTGCTGCAGCAGAGTCACAGCTGCTGGCCATGTCTCATGTGTCGCATGGCTCCAAGTTGATGCACGTCGACACCGACATGTTCAAATCCCTGATAGCTACATGCAGCAAGGCCTGAACGTGCCATGATGCACCTTGCACTGTTTTGCTGTAGATGCCCGTAACTATGCCCTTGATACCAGATAAGACATGATGTGAAGCAGGTGGGGCGCCGGCTCGTCCGTGGCTATGCAGCGTCCTTCGTTCGCCACGAGTGCGAGGCCTCGCGTGAACAACGTTAGATTACAGGAATGGGTGTTACTGTCAGGTGATTTGGGATTTCCCAAAATTAGGGGTAGCTTTTGAGGGCTCCCTATAATAAGGAGGGTCTATATTCGGTTTCCCCCTATTTCAGCATGTGCGTGTGGCATGCGCAGCCTTGGCGAAAGAGTATCGCAGAAACTATAGGGACAATGGTTATATTGGGGTTATATTAAGGTTTAAATTGTATTATATAGGGATAATGGAAAAGAAAATGGAAACTACTATATTCTAATGGGGTACCTAAACCCTAAATCCTAAACCTAAGCCCTAAACCCTAAGCCCTAAACCCTATTCTAATGGGGTACTTATTGGGATTTCAGGATATGAGGTATAATCTAAACTCCTAGTATCCCCCTTGATATCCCCTACAGTAGTCCCCTATATAATCCCCCTATATACCCCCCTTCAAGGAGTTTAGACTATGGCTCATATAACCCTTACATAACCCTATATATATATATAGCAGTTTCCATTTCATTTTCCATTTTCTTTTCCATTTGATTCTCCAC